TTTTTTACGTCATCTTCCGGTGTTTCACCAGCGCCCTCAGCCATTTTTGTCAATCTCATCTTTTCCGTCCTCATCGTCATCTTTTTTAGTCTCTTCATCATCCTCGTCCTCCTTTTTAGTTTCTTCATCATCATCATCATCTGCAACTGTTTTCCAGCTGCGTCGTCATCCGTTTTTTCATCCTCACCTTTTTCGTCGTCATCGTCATCTTTTTCAGTCTCTTCATCATCCTCGTCATCTTTTTTAGTCTCTTCATCCTCCTCGTCATCTTTTTTAGTTTCTTCATCCTCCTCGTCATCTTTTTTAGTTTCTTCCTCATCGTCGTCATCCGCTACTGTTTTTCCAGCTGCGTCATCATCCGTTTTTTTGTCATCATCTTTTTTCTCTTCCTCTTCCTCCTCTTTGTAGTCATCTTCATCTTCCTTTTTTACCTCTTCGTCATCCTTGTTGTCATCTCCACTTCCCGCAGATTTCTCGTCGTCATCGTCTGGATTTTCATCATTTTTTTTCTCGTTGTCGTCATCGGCATCAGTTTTATCTTTTTTATTGCCATCCTCGCTGTCGTAGTATTCCTCTTCTGCTGCATTCTCTTCGGCGTAATCATCCTCCGGATCTTCAGCTGAATCTTTCACGTCTGCCGTCTTATCCATGCCTTCCTTTTTAGCACTTTCGGCAAATTTGATCTCCACTCTAGTTACGATATCGCCGTCAGTTGTTTCACTACCATCGATGATATCTTTAACGATAATTTCCTTCTCTTCCGACATTATCTTTTTTACGCTTCTTGCTTCTTTTTCTATTTCTACTTTGTCATCTTTTTCGTCCTTAATTTTATTTTCAGATTCTTCTACTACTTCTGACATTTCTTCTTCTTCCTCTTTTTTTTCTTCCTCTTCTTCCTTTTCTGCTATTACATCCATTTTTTCTACTTTTTCTTCTTTTCCTCCTACAATTACTTCTACTTTTTCTTCTTCAACACTTACTTTCATTTTTTTTATTTCTTCTCCTCCTCCTCCAATTATTACTTTAATTTTTCCTTCTTTTTCTTCTAATTCTTCTTTTTCATCTTCACTTTCATACTCTTCTTCTTCTTCTCCTTCTTCTTTTCCTTCTTCTTCTTTTGCTATTTCTGGCGTTTCTTCATTTATTTTTACATCAATTTTATCTTCTTTTTCATGTTTCTCTTCTACGACTTTCACTTCCGTTTTTTTCACCATTTCTCCATCTTCTTCCTCTTCATCTTCGCCCTCGTACTCTTCATCAACTTTTGTTTTCGGCGTTTTTTCTTTGATTTCATCTTTTGTTTCTATTTCATCGTCCTCTTCATATTCAGCTTCAACAATTATTTTGTTTTTTATTTCGGCATCTTTTTCTCCTGCAGTCACTTCAGGTGTTTCATTTTCATCATCTTCATTTTTTTCCATTTCTTCCGACGATGAAATAATTTCTTTTTCTTCACTGATTACTTCAATTTTACTAGCAGCTTCCTGACTTGCGCTATTGGTTTTCTCAGTTGTTTTAATTTCTGTTTCTTCTTCAATAGCCACAATTTCTTCTTCCTCTGTGTCTTCATGAGTTTCTGCAGTTAAATTTTCTGGTTTGGTCACAACGATTACTTCAAGTTTCTTTTCCTTTTCTTCATCTTCTTCTCCATCTTCTTCTCCATCCTGCTCTTCTCCCTCCTCCTCTTCATACTCTTCATAATGTAGTTCTTCTTTGCTACCATCTTCTGCTTCTACAACGACTTTTTCTTGCTTGCCATCTTTATGCTTAGCTTCAGCAGTTTTCACTTCATCTTGCTTAATTTTTGCATTTTTTTTTTCATTCTGAACAAGTTCACTTTCTGGTTTGTCTACTTGCTCTTCTTCAGCAAACTCCTCTTCTTCCTCCTCTTCCTCATATTCACCTTCACTGTTTTCTTCACTCTGATCGGCTTCATCATTCTCATACACTGAATGTTCCTTTCCACTAACTTCTTTAATTCCAGAGTGAACAACTTTAATAGCAAAATCGTCTTCATCGTTGTCGGCAGCCAAAGTTTGAGCTTCACCGATGCCGCCTATAACATTTGTCCTAATTGAGAAATCGCCGGCTTCGTGAAGATTCTTGATTTCAAACCTGGTTCCCATGTCTGGTTTAAACTCGGAATTGTATTTGGGATTGGTGTAGATGGCTTTGTAGAAGGTTTCGTACGTGACGGATCTATCCTTCCTCAGGCTCCACGTTCTCCATTTCATTCCGTAGAAATTTGACGTCCGTGTGTTCAGGTCCGGAACGGTGATGAAGAAGGCTCTGTAGAGTGTCATCAAATCCACGATGTTCTCTTGCGGCGAGAAAGTGGTTGTCTGTGGGTAGTGGTGTTTAATTAATTTTAATTAATTAATTAGTGATTAATTAATTCTAATTAATTAAAAATGAATAATTATTATTGGATAACTACGATTAATTAATTATGGTTGATTATTAAATAACTAAATTAATTAATTATCTATGAATTAATTATAACTAGAAATTAATAACTAAAAATATAACTTAACTGATATGAATTTTTGATAGCGTTGTCCGTATTTTGGAAATAAATTTTAAAATACTACCATTATTATTACTACTTATACTGATACATTATTACTACTACTACTAGCTTTTATAATAAATTATGACGATGAGAGATATAATAAAAATTAGGAATGGCGGTGGGGTTATTTTTAGAATCTGGTTCATAAATTTGTCTGTTTAAAAAAAATCTTTAAATATTTGGAATTTTTCACTTAAAATTCACGCGGATCTTCAAAGAAGTTATTCTAAATAAAATTTCTGAGTAAAAAAGTGGTTAATTTTTAAATTTTCTGTCTTCAGTGCGATCATACTTTCAGATTGAATTTATAAACTAATATTAGTGCTGCTGCTGCTGTGACTACTACTACCGCTACTACTACCGCTGCTACCACCACTGCTGCTACTACTACCAGTAATACTAGAAGTTACACTGTATTTTTTGTTAATACTACTGCTGTTAAAAGTACTAATACTAAAATTGTAATACCACTAAATACTAATGCTTCGGCTACTACTACTACTACTGCAGCTGCTTCTACTACTACTGCTGCTACTACAACTGCTGCTGCTACTGCTGCTGCTGCTGCTACTACTACTACTACTAATAATAATAATAATAATAGTGATAAAATAATAATAAACGCTAGTACAATGATTTACTAATTTGATAAATCGTTTTAAAAACGCCCTAGAGTTGTAAGAGACTTAAATAGGAGCGCAAAGATGACATGACAAAACATTTTTATTGTTATTAATGTTGTTTAGTAAAAAATAATGACAATAATATTTTCTTATTGTTGTTATTAACTATTTATAGTCAGTAGTTTCATAATTACTATTATTTAGTTAGTCATTCACCTATTCGTTCATTTGTAAACTTATTTCATGTTAATGTATTCGCGTACTAGCTGATAAACATACTTGTATGTCTGTGGGTAAACAAACATGCAAATAAACATATGAGTAAACGTACAAACGTATGAACGTAGGTACGAACGAACGAACGAACGAACGGATGAATGATAAGTGAACGTGTTAACCAGCAAACATTTGGTTTCCATTAACTCATTGGCTGAGGCTAAGCCATCATCATCGTCATCATCGTCATCGTCATCACTTTCGTCATCGTTGACTGTTATCATTGTCATAGCTATGAATTCAATTTATATTTTCAATAATAGTGATAAAATGACACTAATAAAGACCTTACAATGCAGTTGCTAACCTAATCAAAGTTGTCATCATCATCACAATCGTCACATTAACCAGTATTTAAACATAATTTTATCATCGTTCCACCATCATTTTAATCCTCTTAGATGTAACCATAATCATCATCATCATCATCATCATCATCATCATCATCATCATCATCATTATTACTAAATCATCATTATCACTACAACGTTATCACCAATATAGTCGTCATCGTCATCATTGTCAGTTGCAGCAGCAGTAGTTACCGCAGTAGCAGCAAGCAAAAAATAAACCGCATGTAATGTGCATTATGTGCAGTGATCAGGCTGTTGGTATTTCACAAAATGTGAACTTGTTGTTTGAAACTTTGAAACTGCTATGCATGACCTCAACTTGAATGAACCTTTTTTACTACAACTGCTGCTACTGCAACTACTACTGCCGCTACTACTACTGCTGCTACTACTGCTATCGCTGATGTTTCTACTAATACTACTACTATTTCTGCTGCTACTTCTATTACTACCCATGTACTAGTACTACATAGTATATACATAGTACATATATATATAGTACTACACTACTATAGTTAGTTTTGTTAGGATGCTTGTTGATAAACCGACATTAAAATTCTTTGAATATTTTTGATGAAAACCTTACCACAAAGCGCCGTAATTTTTTTATCTAATTTCAAAATAGTTTCATCCCATCACTATAACGTCACTTTTATTTTAGACATCATTTTTAATGCGTAAACAAGTTAAATGTTTATGTTTAGAAGTATTAAAAATACGCATATGCGAATGATAATTATATCAATTAATAATAATAATTATCATTTTCGTTTAGTTAAATAATGATAGATAGAGGAGCGATGAATGAATTTGATATCCCTTTCTGTCAATATTATCGTCGTCATCATCATCACTAGCATCATTACCATCATCATTATCGTCATCATCATTATCATTGTCGTTACCTTTTTTTTATTCTTCATCATCATCATTATCATCTTCATCATCATCACCACCACCATCATCATCGTTATCATCTTCGTCATCTTAGCAGCTGTCATCACAACCATCATCATCTTTATCATCATCTTCTTAAGAAATAATAATCATAGAGTTTGTAATCATATCACCATATTTATGCCATGGGTATCATAATCAGGATTAACATCATCGTCGTCTTCATTATTACTCTTCATCTAGTTCTTAAAGATTGTATTACTTCGTTCACACCATTTTTGTAATTTAGTATATTAGTGTTATGCATGTATGTGCGTGTGTGTGTGTGTACATACGTACGTACGTACGTACGTATGTATGTATGTATGTATGTATGTATGTATGTATGTATGTATGTATGTATGTATGTATGTATGGATGTATGTATGTATGTATGTATGTATGTATGTATGTATGTTTGTATGTAAGTATGTATGTATGTATGTATGTATGTATGTATGTATGTATGTATGTATGTATGTATGTATGTATGTTTGTATGTAAGTATGTATGCATGCATGTGTGTATGTGCGTGTGTGTGCGTATGTATGTTTATGTGCATATGAACTAAAGAATGCATCCATCCCTCGTTAGGTACAGCGATAGATGTCACGTAGTTGCATCTTTTGATCTTAGAGTTTTTTCCCTCATTTACACACGCACACGCACGCATATCGCACACGTACACACACACACACACACACAAACACACTCACACAAATACACGCACACACACCACACACACCACACACTCACACACGTATGTACTTAGATTTTTGAAAAAAAGTCACTTACTCAGCAAAACATCTCGATGGGTTAATTGAAATATTTCAAAATAACCAGAAACACTACTTAAAAATTAGAATTATTTAAATGCAGAGTAATTTTATAAGTATTTACAATTACTACAATACGATCTTTAACTTTCTCTCTCTCTTTCTCTTTTTTTTTCCCTCTCTCTCTCTCTCTCTATCTCGCTCCCTCTTTCTTTCTCCGTTAAAGAAATCTCAAAATCTCACATTAGTAACCTTTTAACGATGGCCAAAAATTTGACTCAAAGTTGTTTAGGTTTGCACGTGTCAGGGCACTTGGTTGAAAGAGGCATGTTATGCTGAATTCATAATATTAAGAATAACATTAATGGTATAAATAATAATATTATTAATAATATAAACAATAATTTTTATTAATATTATTATCAATTCTTACTTAATTTTCAGAGAAATTGGCAAACACACACAAACACATATACACAAACACCCATAAAAACACATACACACACAAACACAAACACCCATACAAACACATACACACAAACACACACACAAACAAGCACACACAAACACAGACACGCATATTTTTTAGTTGGGTGTGACATGCTTGTTCAGCAGTTGCATACTTGTTAGTTGTGTGGGAAACAGAGTAATAAAATTGTTTTTTGACAATTTTCGACAATCGTTACCATGACCGAGATGACATCTTGATCGTCATCATCGTCATCGTCTTCATCATCATCATCTTTTTCGTCGTCGTCTTCGTCATTATCATCATAGCTTTCGTTATTATAAACTTCACTGTCTATATTATATCATTATCATTTCCGTTGTTTTAATCGTCATCATCGTCATCATAAACATCATCTTATGATCGTTAACATTAATACTACCCCTAAAACCATCTTTATCATCATCATCGTCATCGTCGTCACTATCGTCGTCTTCATCATCATCGTCGCCATCTTCATCATCATCATCGTCTTCCCCATCATACGTAGTCGTCAAGATTCTAGTTTAATTTATCTCCTCTGATGAGCTTGAGAAAAAAATTGTTCACAAAACAGCGTAGTAGCATGCCGTTCAAGTTTCATTAGTATCATCGTCATCCTCATCATCATCTTCATTCTCATTATCATCTTCATCATCGCCATCCTCATCCTTATCACCATTCTCATCATCCACATCATCGTCATCGTCGTTTTCCTCATCATCTACATCACTATGAAAGCGTACAATCATCACGATAAGGACTAATAATTATTTGAAAGACAAAAAAATATTAATAGCAACAAAAGATCACTCAAACAAACAAATTAGAAAATTAAATAACATAGAGAAGGAGTTAACGAAGCAAGCGTCTGTCCTGCAAGATACGATGATAACTTTTGATAACATCAGGCAATGTTAACAACTTTTTTGTACTCTCATTTTCTCTCTCTCTTTTACTCTCTTTCTCTCTCTCTTTCTCTCTCTCTTTCTCTCTCTCTCTTTCCCTCTCTCTCTTTCTCTCTCTCTCTTTCTCTCTCTTTCACACACACACACAGACACACACACACCAAATATATACACACCATTACCAATAACGAGTGGACTTTTTTGTCGATTCAATATTATCTAATGTAAACAGGATAACCTTTATCAAGACTTCTCCTTCTTTTTTTTCATATTTTTTTCATATTTTTTCATATTTTTTTTTATATTTTGTCCCATATTTTTGTTATTTTTCTATAAGTAGGTCGGTCTTACAAACACTTAACTCGCTAACGATTCTTTTTTTTTTTCCAACTTATTTACAAATTAAACAGTCACTCAGTCACAAATGCTCTCACGTACAAATTACAAACCACACGTATTGTATACACACGTCTGTCTGTGTGTATCATCCACACCACACCGCACTGCATCACGCACACACACACACACACACACACACACACACACACACACACAGATTGTAAGTAATTTTTCAATTTTGCCTGGACTTGATTTGAACCAGACAGATCAACGTATGAAACTAACTCCAAACAACCACTGCTTACTTCAACAAACATTACCATAATCATCAATGACATTTATATGACGTCAAGAAACATTAATTACCAAAGACACTAATATCAAAAAAAAACTTACATTACACTTGCCAGAATCACAGACGGAGAACTCCTTATTCCTTGAGCAGATGACCCTGTCCATCAAAAAGGTGAAAGGATACCTCAAAAGGAATACTGGTTTGTAATCATTCTTATCATCGTCGTCGTCGTCTTTGCCATCAGCATCATCATCTTCTGTGTTTTCTAACTTACAGTAAATACTGCAAGCGTCAATTTCGGCTGTGGGAGAGCGAGTTATAAAAGGAAAGGTTAATTTTTTACTTTTTCATAAATTTTAAAATTGATATGAAACATTTTGGCTATTAAAATTGGTTACGAGGTACTTTAAAGCGTTGAAATTTGTGAATAAGAATCTCTGTAAATTCTTCTCTATGTCATGATCGAAT